ATTTCTTTATTCCTTAACATCTTTTAACATAATTTCAACTTCAAATCAAAGATTTTCAGGGGTAAAACTGGTTGTTTGGGTAGAACCTAGGTCTTCTACAAACTGAGGAGTTGGACCTCAATTTTAGGTCCGATTTCAAAACAAATCATATATTTGGACTCGTGGGGGAATGGGTAACCGGGTTTTGGTCCAAACCTCGAGTTTCGACCACGTGCGTCCGGGGGTGTTTTTGACCATTTTGGGAAAAACCTTGTAAAATTTATTTTTCATGCATGGGGAGTGATTCATTTAGTAATTATTAATGTGATTAAGTAACTTATGACTAGATTCGAGCGGATTGGTGGTGGAATCAAGAGGTAAAGCTATACTAGAAGCGTGAGTTGAGTTTGGAGCATTCGAGGTAAGTGTTTGTTCTAACTTTGGCTTGAGGGAATAGGATTAGGATGATATTTGCTACTTGCTAATGTGGAGTACGGTGTATAGGCATGGTGACGGTTATCTATGCACCGGAGTCTAGCATGACCGTGAGTCTTGATTGCTTTTAATTCGAATAATGTGACACAAGCTCCTTGTTTATTTGATAAGTTTCATATAATGTGAATGGTTGAGGAAGAATGATTTAAAAGGAGAATGTGTTGTGAATACTCCCTTGCCGGGATGTGTAGACTGATATATATATTCTCCCTTGTCGGGATATTTTGGGCTGTTAGCTGTACCCTTGCCGGGTTAAAGGTATTGAGTTGTTATTCTCCCCTGAAGGGGTCTACTATATGAAGTCAGATATTATGAACTATAATATGGGATCGTGTGGCACGCCGTCCACTTATATATGATATTATGGGATCGTGTGGCACGCCGTCCAATTATATATGATATTATGGGATCGTGTGGCACGCCGTCCACTTATATATGATATGAATTGGGATCGTGTGGCACTTGGTTACTGGCCTCCGTTGTCGGTGACGTATTGTGCACTGTGATAAAGATGAAATGTGAACGGGTGGTACGCCTACCACATGGTATATGGAAATAGGGATCGTGTGGCACGTCGTCCACCTATATATTGTTAAAAGGGATCGTGTGGCACGCCGTCCAC